CAGCATGGGAGCTGCTTTACATTGGACATCAGATAAGGAACAAAGTAAACAGCAGTAACAATACTGATAGCATCAACAACAGCACCAAGAACAAGAGTAGCAATCTAATTCTTATTAGGTTATAAGTAGACCATTAGAGTTGTTCGGTAGTCAGAGAGGGGAAGGTGTGACTGCAAGTAAGGCTGGTAGGTGGGTTCAGCAGGTTGTGATTAAGGAGCCTCAATCCTTGGACTTGACCATTAATTGACAAGGTGTGTGCTGCCTGTGAACCATGAACCTATGGTACAGGATGCTCAAGTGAGGGAGTGAAAAGGAATGTAGGAGTGAAAGAGGATGGTACAGTGGTACCTTTACTGTTCTCCACCTCACCAAGAGAATCATAAAATCCCTACAGTGCAGATAGAGGCTGTTTGACCCATCGAATCTGCACAGACCCTCCAAAGAGCATCCCAACCAAACCCCACCCTATTCCCGTAACCCCACATTAACCATGGCTAATCTACCTAGCTGCACTTCCCTGGACACTATTGGACAACTTAGCATGGCCAATCCACCAAACCTGTACATGGACTGTGAGAGGAATTCAGAGCACTCAGCAGAAACCCACACAGACACAGTGAGAAAGTGCAAACTCCACACTAATGGTCACCCAAGGCTGGAATCAAACCTGGGTCCCTGGCACTGTGAAGCAGCAGTGCTAACCAATGTGCCACCATGCTGTCCTGAGAGGTACAAAGGTTGTGTTGTCAGAGTTCAGAACATTATCTCATAGTCGGAGTAGGAAGGGGAAGATCTAATTATAAATCACATAGGGACAAATGACAACAGTAAAGCTTAAAATAATGCTCTGCTGAGAGAATTTGAGAAGTTAGGGTCCAAATCAAAATAAAGACCTTCAAAGATAATAGTTGTTAAGTGACCCATGTGCCAATTATCATAGGATCAAGCAGATCAGAAACATAAAGGTGAGAATCAAAGAGTAGTGTGAGAATAATGGGTCTTGATTCATGGGAAATTGGAATCAATTGTCAGGAAATTCTTCCATTGAGACGAGCCGCAGTTAAACCAGACTGGGATCAATGTCCAGGCAAATCATATAATTAGGGTTGTGAATAAGTGGTAAACACAGACCTCTCACTATCACAGGGAGGCGATGGCCTAGTGGTATTATCGCTGGACTGTTAATCCAGAGACCCAGATAATGTTCTGTGGACCTGGGTTTGAATCTCGCCACAGCAGATGGTGGAATTTGAAATCAATAAATATCTGGAATTAACAATCTAATGATGACTGTGAATCCATTGTTGATTGTGGGGACAAACCCATCTGGCTCACTAGTATCCTTTAGGGAAGGAAACTGTCATCTTTACCTGGTCTGGCCTGCATGTGACTCCAGCCCCACAGCAATGTGTTGACTCTCAACTACCCTCTGGGCAATTAGGGATGGGCAATAAATGCTGCCTAGCCAGTGACACCATCATCCCATGAATAATTAAAAAAAACATGCAACATCTCCCCTCACTCACTGTTGCCCTCCCAGCACTGCTTAGTCATTCACTTGGATGCTTGGCCACCTATCCCCCACCTGCAGTTACAGCTGTGCTAGACACTTTCATCTCACTCAATTCCTCTTTTGTCTCATTCCAATAGAATAAGGCCCAAAATAGGGCAGAAAGAAACAAGACAAGTGGTGATGACATTCAGCTCCTCATTCCCTATAAGGAGAGGAAGTTGACCCTGACCATTCCAAGCAGCAAATTGACTGTAAGCAAACCCCTGGACTAATACTGGAGGCTACCCTGGAGTAAATGTGCTGGGACCCCTTGAGTGATGGGTCCCTCCCTTGCTGAGTAGCATTCCCCTTAGACTTTGAGATGTGACCGTTTGTTTGATGCGCAAACAATGTGCTCACCACATGCGCTGGGGCATTTGGTGCAGCTGTGAGACTGACATAGCAGGATATCATATAGCAACATTGCCACTCCCTTGACCGATAGCTACTGACAACCATGACAAGTTCCCTGGCTTTGAGGCTGAATTAAAAAGCAATTCAAAACAGAAGTACCTTGAGGCTTTGAGCTCTGATTGAGTGGGCAAGGCAGAAAAAAAATGGCAAGGCAAGGCAAGTCAGGAATCCTTGGGCATTGAAGTAGGTGCAATGTCAGTGAATACGAAGAGAGCAAGTGATAATTTTTGAGATGAAACCTGGTCCAATTCATGAGATGGGTGGCAGTCCCTTTGCGCAAAGTGTCCTTGCAGGATCATTCCAATGAAAGGTGCCAGTGTGATCCAAAGTGCAGCATTGAAATGCATAATTCTGTTGTAAGTGGTCTCCAACGAGACTGCTGACTAAAAACAGAGCCCTTGAAAGGATTGGCATAGTCAACGTGTAACCAGGTCCATCGTTTTCCCAGTCCTCTGGGAATGGTCCTCTGGAACTATAACAACTTTACCTTTGTATAATCCAACCTAGGCATGCGATTTCTTCCTTGACAGTGTCCAGGTAATTGTCCTCATCGCCAATTCTCGCCAGTGTATGCAATTCAGATGGCAACTCAGCAACTCTGAGCCAAACTTGCTTGTGATAAAGACACTGCAGATATGATTTGCAGGACTGCAATACACATGTTGCAGTCATGCCATACCATAATTGTATAACTTCATTGATTTAATTAGATAATTAGTCATTGAAATAATTCCACAAAGGCTGGTATCCCCATCACCAAGTCACTCTTTATTTACGCATTTATACTGACCCAGATAGCACAGAGCCAGCTCCTAAAGTAGCCAGAATCCCTGATAATCCTATTTATATCTGTCAGTCAGGACTCCCTGATTGGAGCAGGTTAACAGCCCCAATCAGAGAAATCATGTTTTGTGAGATCCACCTGGCTGACCTTATTCCAATAACTGCATCCCTTCCCCTCTAAGTCCTGGGACATAGGACCATTCTTTTCTCCTGTGACTTCTCCTGGGTCATTTTCACACTAGGTCCAGTTCCTCCGACTCTGCCACAGATACTGCCACATGTAGCAGACCCATAGCCCATCTCTTGTGTCTGGAGTGTCTTGGATGAAACTCATCTTCTTTTTCAGGTAGGAACAGCGTTAGGGTTGCAACATCTGCTGTGTCCATCTCGTCCTCAGCGCTTTCCTAGATGCTAGGCAGAGGAGGAGAACCCATGGGTTCTGACAGCCTTGCCAGATGTTCAGAGAGGCTGGATATGTTTTGCTCCCTCTCTGTTTGTGAAGTCGCAGCTTTCATGCGGTCCACGTGCTTGTTGAGGACTGCCTCACCTACTTGAACTTTGTACGTCATGGGACCTGACCTCATATCGACCATGTCTTTTACCCATGCAGGGCATAAGCATAATTCCTACACCAAACATTGTCCCCTGAAATAAACTGTCTCTATCGCTTAGAGGAGACTTCTGTCTGGCATTGGCATTCCTGATGCCATTTCATGTTCCCCCCACAAGTCTGGGAAGATCAGATTTAATCTGGTGTAGAGTCTTCTCCCCATTAGCAACTTTGCTGGAGCTGTCCTTGTCGTTGGTTAAAGAGTAGTTCAATAATCAAACAGGAACCAGGCCAGTTTGGTATCGAATGAAACTGTAGGCTTTTTCTTTAAGCCTGCCTTCAAAGTTTGGACCGCACTTTCTGCCAGACTTTGGATGATGGAATGTTTTGGAACTGTCCTTGCATGCTGAATGCCATTCACCTTTGGGAGATACTTGAACTCTCTGCTGATAAATGAAGGCCCGTTGTCTGTGACCAAAACCTTTGCGAGACTGTGAATTGCAAAGCATGCTTGCAACTTTTCAATCGTCATCCCCATATTTGATGAATGAACTCTATGCACATCCAAACACTTTGACTGGGCATCTACAATGACTAAAAACAGAGCCCATGAAAGGATTGGCATAGCCAACGTGTAACCAGGTCCAGCGTTTTCCCAGTGATCCCCCGAATGTGGGAGAGCTGTTGACGGTAATTCTTGTCCTTGTTGGCACTCTGGACACTCCCCACCAATGCAGCTATGTCAGTATCCCACTCGTTGCCACTGAAATAGTTCCACAAAGGCCAGTATCCCGTCACCAAGTCACCCTTTACATACACATGCATAGTACATGACACCAACCCAGCTAGCACAGAGCCAGTTTATGGACTGAGCAGAACCCCTGACAGACCTGTTTATGTCTATCAGCCAGGACTGCCCGATTGGTCCAGGTTAAGAGCCCCAGTCAGGAACCTCATATTCTGTGGGACCCATCTGGCTGACTTTATTCAAATTACTACAGTTATTATCTTATTTTAAGTAAGAGCAACTTACGGTCAAACAATCACCAGATACTGGAGAATGAAATAAAGTGTATTAAAAATATTCCCTCCCATTCTGAATTCCCAATTGCACCAAATTTGTCACATAGTGGTCAGTTCATGAAGACCACTGTCCTTAGATCACCTTATGCTTTCTCATTGTCAAACCTTCGCAACTGAGGTCTATAGCAGGTTGTAGAAATAGAAAAGAGCAAGACTATGGAGTGATTTGAAAAAAGGATGAACATTTTTAAACTGTCGCATGCCCAGACCAGAAGCAAGTGTAGGTGAACAAGTTCAGGAATGATAGGGAAATGCGATTTGTGCTAGTTCGGACAGGGGTAGCAGAGTTTTGGATGAGTTGTGTTTCTGGAGTGTGGAAGATGGGAAACCAGCCAGGACGGTGTTGACCTAGTCAACTCTACAAGCATTGATGAGCGTAGGAACTCCCTACGTAGCAATCTTATGGTAGTATTCTCACCATATTGGCTGCAGTGGTTCAAGAAAAAGGATGAAGAGCAATTACAGATAGGTAATTAATCGTAGTGCTGGTAGAAAATCCTACATCCCTGGAAGGAATGAAAGTATCTTTCTCGCTATTGGAAGATTTGAACTGATAAACAAGTTTTGATTATAGCATACAAGATGCAAGTCACTACCATTCTTCAATTATTGTTTCAGGTATTTGAAGTAGAGGTTCGAGAGCAAGCAGCAACAGCTTTTTGGGCATTAGCAGGACAGACACTGACACAACGGAAGAAGATGGCCAAGGATATTGGTTATAATTTGGTCATTGATCTTTTACTATCCTCATCTGATAAAATGCACAATGTTGGTAAGTTTCAGTTTTCTAGTAAGATTAATCTTTTCATAAACAAAGTTGCTAGAAAAGCTCAGCAGGTCTGGCAGCACCTGTGAAGGAGAAAACAGAGTTAACGTTTCAGGTCATGTAAGTTCTGAGGAAGGGTCACCGGACCCGAAATGTTAACTCTGTTTTCTCCTTCACAGATGCTGCCAGACCTGCTAAGCTTTACCAGCAATTTTGTTTTTGTTCCTGATTTACAGCATCCGCAGTTCTTTCGGTTTTTAATCTTTTCATACATTAAAAAATGTAACACTAAGAATGCATTGATAGTATAAATTCAAAGTCAGCATGTGCATAGTCATTGAATCTGCTGAGGCACCAATATATAGTCCAACAGTAATTTGGATGGCATTTTATTCTCCATATAAATGAATTCCAAACCTCAGCCCTGATCACTAGGGAAGGAGGTTAGATCCAAGTGTTTTCATGAAGTTAACCACCACTTCCAAACTGACAGGATTGGGTTCCAAATCACAAAACTATGTGCAAAGTTGTTGGCAGATTTCTCCAAACTCCATGACAGTGACTGCACAATGTCTGGCAGGCCTGCCAATGCAATAAGTATTTAAGTGCACATAGCCATCATAAATTTGCTGGACCAGTTCCACAAAGTGCTCATCTGAGTTCCCCTTTAGCAGAATTTATGTTCAACCTCAAGTTCTGGTGCACTAGCACATACAATATGCTTAACCTCTTCCACAGCAAGAGAATAAGTGACAGTATTTCTTCTTCATCTTTTTTAATTATTGTCTTGGTGTTCTATCAGATCCTGCGCAAGCTTTACCAAGTTGTTAAGGTTTCAGACAGGATACACAAAATGTCAAGCTCCCAAGTGAGGAAAGATGAACTGGCTCTCCCTCCTTATTTACCCGTCCTCTCAGTTGGTCACAACAAGTTTAATTTACAAAAAATTTACCACCCTTTCTTCCAAACCAAACAAATGTATAGTTTAAAATGAGCCAATTCTAACAAGCCAGGCTTTCTTGAGCTAACAAAAGAGTGAATTTATTAGTTTTTTTTAAATTCAAGAACAAATAATAGCACAACATACATTCACATGTAGAAATGAAAAGTGCATTTTGTGAAGAGTAGATGAAAGAAAGTTGCTGCTGTTGCAGTGATTTTTGTTAGTACAATTGATGTTAGTAATTGGACGGTTGATTTTGAGATTCTTGGTTTTACAGGTTGATTGAAATTCTTTTGTCCTGATTTGTTTTGAGAGTGGCTGGCTGGCAGCACTCAGAGTGATGGATTTTTTTTTCTCTTTCCCATGTTTAATGGCTGTTCTCAAAGCTGTGACCTTCATAGCATAGTCGTCCACACACTGGACATTAGGCCACTAATACGCACATGAAAACTGAACTAGGAGTTTCAACTCATATTCTTGTAATTTCTTAAAAGGAGAAGACTCAAAACATGTCTCTTGCACAGACTATGTTTTTTCCATCATGTACACAGTTCTAAGATAACCCCCAGGAGATAGATTACAGTTCAATTTGCAGTGCATTTCCCCCTTTCAAACTTTTTTTGGCACTCACAGGTGTGACATTCTAAAGTGCCTCTTCAGACAGTCACTGGATTTACATCTGCAGTAATTTTGGTTGCATCAATCCTCTTTTAAAAAAACACATGTTGGAATTCTAAAGTCAGGTAAATGATCTGGGACTGTGATCTATGGCCATGACATTTAACATTTTATCTAGAAAGATAATCAAATGGTATTTGCTTTTGATTTGTATTTGTCAATTGCATTAGTATACATAGAAATTCAATATTTTTATCAGTCGGATATTCAGGTGAAAGAAATTTAACTGTTCTAATATCAAATATTTGAAATGAAACTTATTGTTCATTTATTTAGCTTGCCAGGCATTGATTGCACTGAGTGAGTGTAACAAAGAACAACAAGACAACATTTGTGCGAAAAATGGAATTTCCCCTTTGGTCCGACTTTTACGAAGCTCTGAGATATCTTTGCGTACATTGTTGAGTGCCATTGCAGCACTGGGTACTATGTGTGTTGGTTAGTATTATACTATGTTATTCGAAGTTATTTCAAGACAGTTTAAGAGATGTACATGCAGAATAGTAACAAATCAATCTTGCTTGAAGATGTCTCTTCCTTTTGTAGTGATTCTAATGAGGTCGCCAGGTAGACCTAATAGAATATGAGTTCCCTGATTGGGGCTGTTAACCTGGTGCAATCAGGGAGCCCTGGCCGACACATATAAATGGGAGTGTCAGAGGTTCCGTTCAGTCTGAGAGCTGCTCTAAGGAGGCCGGACTAGTGTCAAGTACTTTGCACATGTAAATAAAAGGTTACTTAGAGATGGAATACCAGCCTCTATCGAATTATTTCAGTGGCGACAAGAGAAACAAGTACACTCCTGAAGAAATTTGCTTGCAACAATTGTCTTTGAGTTGGGGTAAGCATTTCTGATATCATGCCATTTTTTTAGGAAGCTTGACATGTTCGATCCTGCCATCGAAGAGTGGGCCCAGTGTATGGAAAGAATGTGTTATTTTTTTTTCCAGGCAAATGACATAGAGGCAGATGAAAAGCAATGAGTAATTCCCCTGACAGCTTGTGGATCCAAAGCTTTTTTTAGTTATTAAGAGGCTCACTTTCCCTAAGGCAACAGGTACTAAAACCGTTCAAAAGTTGATGGATTTAGTCAAGGGATATTTCTGAGATAATTCTGAGATGCAACTGGTATTACTCAACAATTCAAAAACTAGTGGCATCCTTATTGGGATTTTTGATGAAGTTAAGACAACTCGCAGAGGCATGTAAGGGTTTAACCCTTAATGAAATGCTGAGAGACCGTTTGGAATGTAGAATTAATGATGTAACCATGCAAAAGCACTTCCTGGTGGAAGCCTGACTGGACTTCAAACAGGCACTATAACTGGTTTTATCATTGGAAAATGCAGCAAGTGGAGCATATGGGTTACAGGTAAGCCGATGGAAGTGGACACCCTCACCAGACCAACTGAGCTTGGAGGACACCACTTTAATGAAGGCAATTGCATAATTTCACTCAGGACATATTTTGAACAGAGACTCTAGGTTAGCCCACAGCAAATTCCTAAAATAAAGCTGAACCTCAACCAAATGGTTAACATTTTCTTCAGGATTCGGGCTGGTAAGCCATCATAGTTGCTGCCGGTGTGCGGACTTGAGACGGCAAAAGAGGCCCACTTGGTCTGAATTGAGTAAGAGAACTCATAGGCCGGTATCCAGGAGAGTGCACACCCTGGAAAGCCCACCTACATCTGGCTTGGAACAGTTGAATTGCTTAGCAACATCCAAATCAGAAGCAATCAAAATAAATGTCTGGTTAAATAGTCACCTGGCACTCGTGGAGGTTGATATCAACAGGGGTGTATCAGTGATTGCAGAAGCAGTCTTTGACAAGATTCGCTCTGGATTCCAACACTTATGTTTGCATAAGACCTCAGCTGGACTGAGAACCTACATCAGGGAACCTTTACAGATTAAGAGTCCAACTTCGATTCCAGTCCTATATGAGAAGCAGCTGGTTCAGTTACCACTGATTCTGGTAAAAGGCTCAGGCCCAAGCCTGATGGGGCGAAATTGGTTGAGAAAGATTCACCTAGATTGGCCCAAAATTTTTCGATTAGAAAATGGCTGCCTGAGTGAAGTCCTAATTAAATATCCGGAAGTTTTTCAGCAAGGTTTAGGGACTATCAAAGGAGATAAGGAATATGCATCTCAACCAGGAAGCAATTGCACGATTCTGCAAGGCCTGCCCAGTACCATTTGCCTTATGGTTAAAAGTAGAGGCAGAAATCAGAAGGCTGGAAAGCAAAAGAATCATCAAATCAGTCCAGTTTGCGGAATTGGCAGTACCAGTTGTATCGATTGTGAAGCCTGATGGGTCGGTCCACTTTGTGGGGAATTAAACAAACAAAAAACCACTTCTCCCACCCAGTCCCTTGCATAGAGGACTTATATGCAAAGATAGCAGGGGGATGTTCTTCACAAAGCTGGACATAAGCTATGCATACCGGCAATTGCAGTTAGATGTGGATTCACAGAAGTATGCTACAATTAATACCCATTAGAGTTTCCACCAATATATGAAACTACCATTTGAGATATTGTCAACCTATGCCATTTTTCAGTGGACGATGGAGAACATTTTTCAAGGCCTACCCCAGGTCGCCATTTATCTGGGTGACATGCTACTAATAGGAAGACCCATAAAGAGCACTTAGAGTAGTTGGACATAGTCCTCAGATGTTTCTCCAAGGTGGGAATATGCCTTAGAAGGCAAAAATGTTTGTTCCAAACACCCAAAGTGACCTACCTGGGCTACAGAGTGGACAAAACTGGGTTACACTCATTGGAAGATAAAGTGAGGGTGTTCGAGCTTAGGTCTTTCCCTGAATTGGTGAATTATTACAGAAAGTTCATAAACAACATGGCCTCTATCCTAGCCCACTTGCATCTGCAGTTGAAAAAGGGTCAGCCTTGGAAATGATCTCATTCCTAAGACATAGCCTTTATGGAAATCAAGAAGAAGTTATCTTTGTCTAAGGTGTTGGCACGCTATGATACCAAACAAGATCTGGTGCTGACATGCGTACGGTATCAGGATAGTGTTGGCTCACAGATGGCCAAAGGAGAGGAATGTCCAATAGCATAAGCTTCCTGGACTTTGGCTGATGCAGAGTGCAAATACGCCCAGATAGAAAAGGAAGATTTGGTGATCATCACTGGTATGAGAAATTTCCACCAATACCTTTCCGGACATAGATTTGTAACAGTAATCCCTTCTAACGCTGCTGGAAGAGGAGAAGACCATGCAGCCCATAGCTTCTGGTCGAATTCAGTGGTGGGCTGTCATTTTAAGGACATACATTTACAAGGCGCAACATCATCCAAGATGCCAAGCAGCAAATGCAGATACCGTGAACCATCTCCCACTGGCAGATACACCACCAGAAGAGTCCATTCTGGTCTTAAACTTTCTGAACACCTTTCTGGCCACTGCTGACAATATCAGACTGTGGATGTAAAAAGATCTGGTCCTGGCAAAACAGCTGGTGGTAATGGGGGAAACAAAAGGACAGTTGCAACCAGGATTGAAACTTTTCTGGACCCACCAAAACCAGATCACCGTAGGGGATGGAATTTTAATGTGGGAGCAAGAGTGATTGTCCCAGACAAATGTCACCATCAGATACTGGCTGAAATCCACCAGGGTCATCCACGGGTGTCCAAAATGAAGAGGTTGGTGAGATGTTATGTCTGCTGGCCAGGATTGGATGCAGATACACCCATGTTGGTGGGACAGTACCCAGAGCGCCAACAAGGACAAAAGTTACCACCAGTGGCTCCCCCACATTTGTGCGAATATCCAGGTGAACATTGGATACGGTTACATCTCTACTATGCTAGCCCTCTCATGGGCTAAATGTTCTTAGTCATTGTGGACACTTACTCAAAGTGGCTGAACGTGCATAGAGTTCATTCATCAAACATGAAGTCAATACACCAGATCGCAGAAGTGTTGGTCACAGACAACGAGCTATCATTTACCAGTAAAGAATTTGAGTATTTCCTAAAATCAAATGGCATTCCAATGGCCTGGCCAAAAGAGCAGTACAAACTTTGAAGGCAGGCTTAAAGAAATAGCCCACGGCTTCACTCAATACCAAACTGTCCCAGTTCCTATTTGATTAACAGACCACCCATATGCAACTAGAGGGATAGCTCTGGCAGAGTTGCTAGTGGAGAGAAGACTCTGCACCAGGTTAAATCTGATTTTTCTGGACATGGGGATGAGGGTCAAATGGCATCAGGAATGCCAAAGCCGTCTAAACAAGAGAGATAGTTTACTTTAGGGGATGAAGCTTGGTGCTGAAACAATGGAAATAGGCCTCCACGGGTAAGAGACATAGTCGATGCGAGGTCAGGTCCCATGACCTACAAAGTTTGGGTATGTGAGGCGCTCCTGAACAAGCATGTGGGCCACATCAAAGCTGAAAACTCGTAAATGGTGCAGAAGCAAAACATACTTGGCTCTTTGACAGCCTTTCTGACTTTTCTAGAGCCCATGTGATCTCCCTCTCCATCTAGCATTGAAAAAACCTCAGAGCTTGAAATGAACATGGGGATGTCACAGCCTCAAAGAGTTTGCCATCTGAAGAAGAAGGTGAATATCTTCTGAGACACTACAAGTGCAAGAGGCGGCCTACTGTCTGGTACATGTTGCCTGTATCCTAGGCAGAGTCGGAGGAACCGGACATAGTGCGAAAATGCCCTAGGAGGAGCTACAAGAAAAAATAAAGCCTACGTCCTCATTCATAGAGAGGGAGGGATGTGGTGATTGTAACGAGGTCAGCCAGGTGGATCTCATAGAATATGAGTTCCCTGATTGGGGCTGTTAACTGGTCCAATCAGGGAGCCCCATCTGACAGATATAAATAGGAGCATCAGATGTTCTGTTCACTCTGAGAGCTGCTAAGAGGAAGCCAGACCAGTGTCAAGTACTATGCATGTATAAATAAGTTACCAAGTGACGGGATACCTGCCTTTGTGGAGTTACTTCATCTTTGTTTTCAGGTTTTCTCACTTCCCTTTCTGGAATGCTTTCCTCCATAGTGGAGTACTCTTTCCTGAGTGGATGACCTTCTGATACCTCAACAACTGCATATTGATTTTTAAGATTTAAACCGTAAGGATCCAACATTGCTCAATTTGTAAAAAAAATGTAAAGAATGGTTTTCAAAAGAATAGTTTTAGCAAAAACACTGAAATATTCAACTACATAAGAACATAAGAAATAGGAGCAAGAGTAAGCCATCTGGATCATTGAGCCTGCTCTGCCATTCAATAAAATTGTGGTTCATCTTTTCGTGGACTCAGCTCCACTTATCCACCCACTCGCCATAACCCTTAATTCCTTTACTGTTCAAAAATCTATCTGTCTTTGCCTTAAAAAATTCAACAAGGTAGCCCCAACTGCTTCACTGGGCACAGATTTTCACAGATTCACAACCCTTTGGGTGAAGACGTTCCTCTTCAACTCACTCCTAAATTTGTTTTGCCTTATTTTAAGGCTATGCCTCTAGTTCTAGTTTCACCCGCCAATGGAAACAACTTTCCAGCTTCTACCTTATCTATTCCCTTCATAATTGTATATGTTTCTATAAGATCCCCCCTCAAACTTCTAAATTCTAATGTGTATAGTCCCAGTCCATTCAATTTCTCCTCATAAGCCAACTATCTCAACTCTGGAATCAACCTAGTGAACCTCCTCTGCACCCCCTCCAGTGCCAGTACATCCTTTCTCAAACAAAAACAGAAGTTTTTGGAAAAGCTCAGCAGGTCTGGCAAAATCTGTGAAGACAAATCAGAGTTAATGTCTTGGGTCTGGTGACCCTTCCTCATGGTAGCCAGGAAAATGTTGGTTTATATACAGAAGGTAGGGTGGGGGAAGGGGGTAAACAGCAGGTGGGGATAGAGTCCAAAGAGAGAGAAGAACAGTTGGACAGACAAAGGAGTAGATAACGATCTGGCTAGCAGAGTTATTACCTGTTAATGGGGACAGTTAATGGCTAACAATATTATTGTGTAATGGCAGAATATGTGATAACAAGGCCTGATGTGTGGGGCTGAGGGCTGGGACATAGGAGAGTTCAGGTCCTAAAATTATTGAACTCGATATTGAGCCCGGAGAGCTGCAGGATCCCCAGGTGGAAAATGAGGTGTTGTTCTTCCAGCTTGCGCTGAGCTTCCTTGGAGCACTGCAGTAAGCCTGAGACTGAAATGTTGGCCAGAGAATAGGGTGGTATGCTAAAGTGGCAGGCAACTGGACTTTGTTTCTAATTTACAGCATCTGCAGTTCTTTCGGTTTTTATATCCTTATAGACCAAAATTGTATGCACTAGAATTGGTTAATTACCTAAAGAGGAAAAAAAAAGTTGAGGAGCTGCAGGGAAAAGGTCAAACAGTGGGATTAGTTGAGTTGCTCTTGCAAAAAATCGACATTGACACTGACAGCTGAAACCAGTTTATGATTGTATGATTTAAGAAATCTTGCAAAATTAGTCCAGCAGATTTTAAATGATCATTTCACTCACTGGGCTAATATTCTAGTATTAAAGTGAATGCTAAAAACTATTTTCTCATGTTATTGAAAACAGACAACCTTTACAATTTTAAAAAGGCCATTTCTGCCAAACGTACGATCTTGCACTTACATCAGAATCTTTCCATATATACCCAAAATCCAGTACAAACAACTCCATTGCTATTCTGTATCATGAGGCATAATGTTTCCTTACATTTGTATCAATTTAATCTTTTTTGTTATAATCAGAAATAAATGTATAACTTTCAGTTACTTCACAAAAAGGTGAAGAAACGACAATGGTATTAACTTATCCAATTATCCCCTTAAATCATGTACTTAAATATAAACATAAATGTATTTGCTTTAATTTTGTAGGTGTAGCTCACCTAAATAATCCCATCAGTCAACAAAAAATTACTGAAGAAGGGGGCATGGATGTGCTTCTTTATTTGCTTTTCTCTACAAATTCTCCTGAAGTGCAGGTAACAAGGGACAGAGTAGTGCACGGCTGCATTTACCTTTGTTAACTCTTTAATAATGTAGAAAGTAAGATCTTGCTATATTTTGAGTTTTGGGACAGTTGACTATTTATAATTTTCAGATAGTTTGTTAAGTTTCTTAAGAGGCAATAGTTCAGATAAGATGGGTTAATTAATTAAACAAAAATGTATATTACCAATGACGACAGAGGATGGTTCACTGATAGCTGACAAGTAGATGGTTCTCGCTGAATGCATTGATTTAATTAAAGTTGAGAAGGCAACACCCTGTTCTATAAATTAAGTATTAGGGGACTCTTCACTAGGTCTTCTGTTGTGTCCGAAATTTTCGTAACGAAGCACACGCGAGACCATCAGGGATGGTTAGTTATTAATTTTATTGGTTGGACTTCAAACGTTACATGAGCAGTCGATCTCTACCCCTTTCCTTCTGACTCCAACTGCCCCGCCCCCAGGGCTCAAATTCTCATACTTTTATATACACTCCCACCCCCCTTACTTTCCTCCAATCATCTTACTCATGCACTGGGGTGCTTCCCATTTTAGTAATCAGCCCCACATTTTGCTCGAACATTCTGTCCATGCTTTCTGCAGCTACACAGTTTCTACTTGTTATTTTTCCACTCAAGTAAATTGTACAATATACAGTCAACTGCAGACAGTTTGTTTAAACACAAATCAATTTAACTGCAGACATTTTGTTTAAACATAATCAAGATTTCTCCTGCAACTCCTCCCTTTTGATTCTTTTAAGCATTAACAAGAATCACTACACACACCTTAACACGGTATGAGTTTGCTCAGAAATTTCCACGTGTCAAAGTTGAGTTGAATTAAGGAAGGGGGATAAACCATATTTAAAAACATTGGACAAGGACATAGAGAGCAAGAATAATAACAAGGAAGATTATGATTCATTAAACAATAGAGGTTGCCAATGAGCCTAGCTATCCAGTGGCCCAGCTCCATAAGGTACCTGGGAGAGGTTGTTTTAATTTTGCCATTTCTTTACGAATATAGTCAGTGAGGTTAGTTATGTTTTCAGAGTTATCAGTAACGTAGGTACAACATTCCTAACCTATAAAGGCATAAGTGCCACTTTTCTCAGCTAAGATCCAGCCCAGAGCTACGCGATTCTGCATAGAAGTGGCTCGTAGGGCAATCATTTCAGCATTCATCTTATCAAGGGCCTGAGAAGTGTCATTGGCCATCTGTTCCAGGAGAGCTGCCATTTTGATGTATTCTCTGGCTTGTTTGGCTACACCACACACGGGGAACAAAATAGCAAAGAATCATTCTGTTTCTGTAATGGCTCGTCCATGTACTGTAGAGTGGATTTCAGAGAGGTCATAAAGATGACGCATGAATGGGACTACAAAAGTAAGGTAACAGGAGCCTGTCCATGAGGGGGGCAACCAGACATATGTCTTGTGTCCACAAACAAAATATGTGCCGTTGTATGAGACAAACCGAGTTATGTAGTCAGAAAACAAATTGTGGTTAAAGGTTCCCGCTGACGTGAGGTTGATGAAATTAAGTTTGGTTGGAAGTCAAGTGTTAGGTGTGACATTAAAATATTGGGTATAATCATTCTGACTTGCAGACCAACACATAGGCTTACATCCAGTGAAGCAAAAAGTGCTGCTGGTTTTCCTGTCTTTGATGTATTGGTGATGGTGACAAATGCTGGTGTGTGGGACGTATTAAACTGAGGCTGATACCAATCTTCAAAGGCTGTGCCCTGCTGATTCCCACTTAACCTTACCATTAATATCTACCTAGTATAACCCTCTCTGTATGGAAGATGTGGTGACCATGCAGGCCCCAGTCATTAGGGATTTGTTCGGGCAAGTGACCCATTCTGCCACTTGAGAGATACATTGGAAGGAATAGGTCTGAGGGCGATACCGCCCTTGGGATGTATGGGAATATGTGAGCAAGCCCAACAACTGGAGATATTGGAACAACTAGCATACACATACGTCATATACAAAAATGTATTCACATTCAATTCCTTCTTCACAACAGGGGTACATGTTCCAATCACTATCAGGTAAGCAAAAAGTCCAAAAACATGACTTTCATGTTGCCGGTGGTGCGGTGGATCTCTTGACATGTGACGCATGGATCCAGGACTTCTACCCTTGTACTTTTACAGCCGATGGATTAGTTAACAGAACTTGGAATAGGCCTTCCCACTTTGCAACAAGTGGTTCTTTGCGGATTTTCTTGACGTACTCCCACATTCCGTCGACTATATTGTGTCCATCTTCGGGAGGATCACCCCACACCACTGCAATCTGTTGGGAGGCATAACTGTCAGCATTTGTCAGATCCTGACCATATTTTAACAGTGAGTCACTCAATAGATGGCAATCAGCTGAATGGTATCATACCAGGTCAGGACATAGGTTGCCCGGTTTCAGAAAGGCTTAGGCCTTTGTTTCGGTTAGGTGTCGCCTGAATACTACAGTGGACCAGAGGGGAGCTTGGGGCCAAAGTACTCCTTATTGGTGGTATTTGGCCAAGCGTTATTTTATCATTTGTTTGTACACTCAACCTGTCTTGATGACTGTGGGTGAGGTGGACAGTGCAAGTCCCATTTAATGTTCAACAATCTGCACACTTCTTGACAAACCACTCCAGTAAAATGGGTTCCTTCGTCTGAGTCAATGCTGGATGAGATCACTCCCATCGGGGAATGTACTCCTTACAGAGAACCTTAGCCGACTGGTTTGCTGTAGCTCTTCTGGCAGGTGATGCTTCCACCCATTGTGAGAACTTATCCACTATAACTAGGACATCTGAGTAACCCTGGCACTTGGGAGAGAGATATAATCCACCTGCAAATGTTGGAGGGGTCTGGCAGATACAGGTGGTCTCAGTTGTGGCATTACCGTAGTGGGTCTAGGATTATTTCTCTGGCACATGACACAGCGATCCACCACAAGTCACATATGTCTCTTAAATCCTCTTCCCCACCAGCTCCTTTGGAATCTAGCAATCATCTGCCAAGTGCCCCTAGGAGTGTATTGGCTGTGCCAGGATGGGCATTAACACCTGTGGTGTGACCGGCTTGTTTGTGTCCCATTGCCTCCAATCACCATCTTCACATAATTTTATTCCAACTTCAATCCAGGACCACTTTTCTTCCTTAGAACACTGGTCTTGCATTGTTCTCAAATCCTGTAATTTTCTCGAGAACATGTGTATTTTAATTTTTCTTGATCTCCTTGGTTGATCTCCCTGTGAGGCTGCTCTTTTCACTGCCTGATCAGCCAAAGCGTTACCTTGTACTTCCGTCAAGTTCTATCGCATAATGCGCCTTACATTTCAGGATTGCAACTTCTTGTGGCAATTGAATGGCTTCTAGGAGGTCTCGGACCTCATCCCCATTCCGAATGGGTGTTCCTGCTGCAGTAGGGAATCCCCGTTTTTGCAACAGGGGCCCAAAATTGTGTGCCACTCTGAAAGCATATTGAGAATCTGTGTAGATATTGGCTGTTTTCCCTTTGTCTATCTTACATGCTTCTTAGTTCTGCCTGTTGGGCTAAAGTGCCTGCCAGCAAGCTTCCTTCAGCTACTATTTCAGCAAGCTGGGTCCCAACCCAATACGTCAACTTTCCTGCTCATCTGATGCTGCCTGGCCTGCTGTGTTCCTCCAGCTCCACACTGTGTTATCTCTGACTCCAGCATCTGTAGTTCTTACTATCTTTGGTGACAGCCCATCCTGCTTTTCAAACATCGTCTTCTACAAAAGAGGACCCGTCAACATAGAGATCAAGGTCGTTGTTTTGTAAAGGCTCTTCCATTGCCCGAGCTGCTTCGTCCAAGTGCTGCAAAATTTCCACGCAGCTGTTTTCTTCATCACTCTCATCGGCCTTTTCCTCACCTCCTCCCTTTTGATCCTGCACAACAGGTAGCAGTATCGCAGCATTAACTGGGCTTGCACGGACAAGATGGAGGTTGGGGGCTTCTAAAAAGGCTACCCACCATATCCATCGGGTCACAGTTATCTGCAAAACACAGTTTATAGATAACATTGCGTGGACCGTGTGAGGGCACTTCACAATCAGCTTTTGATCGAGCACAATGGGGGCAGTGGCCATGACAGCTTGAGACATGGCTTCCATCACTCTCAGACAACTACCCCACCCCAATGCCACAGAATTTAGCTGGGCGGAATAATAACCGATGGTTCTCTGTCTGTCACCATACTCCTTCATCTTTCTCATGTACGTAAAGAGTAAATGGCTTTCCATTGTCAGGGATTGCCAGAGCTGGAGTGGGCCATAAAGCTGCTTTTAACTTCTGGAAGGCGGATTGCTATTCAGGGGTAAATATTACTGGGTCTTTAGGTTCACGTTTTCCTTTAAGAAGATCATTCAATGCCTGGGCTAATTGCGTATAACTATCAATTCAGCTACGGTTAAAATTGCAAAACCCCAAAAAGGATCTTAGTTCTCGGATAGTAGTGGGTTCTTTAGCAGTCCAAATAGCCACTGTCCTGTCTTGTGTCATCTCTCATTTGTCTTCTGAGATTTTCTGCCCCAAGTACACCACTTCCTCTTGGGCAATAAGTGCCTTCTTAACACTGGCTTGATGACCACAAGAGTGTAAAAGATTGAGGAGAATATGAAAGTCTTCCCTATGCTGTTCTTCAGTCCGTGATGCTATCAAGATGTCGTCCACATATTGGATGACCATGGACGCCATTGGAGGCAATTTCCACAAATGATTCTGCAGGGCCATATGGAACACTGTAGGGCTGCTGTGAAAACCCTAGGGCAAGCGCGTCTAGGTACCAAGGTTGCCAGAGGGACAGACCAGAATCCATTAGCCATGTCTATGATAGAAAAATAGTATGTTCTGGGGAGAGAGAATTAAAAATGGTGGACGAGTCAGCACCAGAGGTGCCTTTTGTTCAGTGCATTGGCTGGCTTTCCGATAGTCGATGGTCAAACACCAGGTACCATCTGGTT